CTTCAGTTTTCCTTGTGTGAGAGAGTCAGAGCAGGAGCTGGGAGAAAAAATGGACCAAAGAGAAATAAGGCACAGATTTCCCAGCAATATTCATGTCTAAGGAAACAAACCTAAGCTTTGGAGCAGGAGATGTAAGTAGAACAGGAAATGTTTAGTTAGACGCAATCTGATTATTTTCTTTGTTTTTAGTTTGGTTAAACTCTGTGTCAACCTCCACGCACAATGTAATTGAAACTGAATCCCAGGGAAACAATTCTCTGTGCTTTAATCTATTTGTTTTAGTTGTTCCGTAACACTTAGCAACTAAGTATGCTTTACCAAATGTATCTTCTTTGTTTTGCTAATAAACTCACCTTTTTTAAATTATAATCTAATTCCTGTGTCCTAGAAGGCAGAAAGTTCTATGTCCATGTGCCTGAACCGAAGGTCAGCTATCAAGCAATTACGGTTTGGTTCCAAGTTCTCCCCTAGCTTTCAAGTTCCCAAGCACTTCTTCCTAGATTCAAGGGGTTTAGTCGGATCCTCGTAACTTGGGGACTGCCTGTATTTGGGTGGTGGCAGCGTACCACCAAGCTCAAGAAGCCTGTAACTGTGGGGAGTTTTTAAACAGAAGCCTTTTGTGGCAAGGTATTTTAAGGTCTCTTGTGGGCCCTCATCTTCTGCACTCAAAATGTCAGAATAGGAAACAGCATTGATACATGTGCACACAAGTGTCTACAAAGCTTGAGTCCCAGCTTTGTCTTTCTTGTCTACCCAAGGCCATACTCTGGCTGGACCTCTAGTCTGCTCATAGAACCATCTAGTGGCTGAATAATCTACTGCAAGCCCAAGGCCATACTCTGGCTGGACCTCTAGTTTGCTCATAGAACCAGCTAGTGGATGAATAATCTACTGCAAATATATATACCCCTACATGCTGTGACAGGTATCCCTGCCCTTCTAGGATGCCATCTGATATACTGGGATACCACTGAGCCCTCCTGTTCTACCAGCTGGAGCTGCTTTATGCTGTCCTGCTGAGGCAGGCCACCTCAAGTCTCCTCCAATGCACACTCAGGTGGGCACACACCCAGCTGCAGAAAGTCAGACACTGAAATCAGCTCTGCATGAGAAGACTGCAACTACAGAATTGCCCATCACTCACGTGACACCCCTTCTGGAGTATAAACCCAAAATTGTACTGTCTTGCGCTGCAGTGAGAACTGCGCAGCATTAAGCTCATCAAATTTTCCTCCTCTCTCAGTGTGGAGGAAGATATGCTCTGCTTTCTGCCCTCCCCCTCCTAGCTACGAGCTGGTTTTAGGGAAAACAAAACCAAGTTATTAATAACTACAAGATAGATTTCAAGTGATAAGGGATAGCAAACAAATCAAAGCAAATTATCCAGTAAATAAAAAAGCACAATATAAAGCTTAGATACTAAAGAAACTAGTTACAAGCAGTAATTTTTCACCCTAAATTTTGTGTTAAGCAAATTGCAGAGTTTCCTAACAGCCAGCTGCTCTTGCCTGAAGCTTAAAACTCCAGGTATCTCTCTCACTGGCCAGATACCTTTTTCAGCCTGTGCTCAGTCTTCTCTGTCCCCCACTCTTTTGTTTTTTAGATGCTCTCAGCAGTTCTCTGGGGCGGGGGGATTCAGTGAAGAATAAACTTTGATTAGCTCACTTCCCTACCTTAAATAGGTTTGGCACATGGGGGAAGCTTTTGGTGACTTGTGTGGAAAAGTACCGGTATGGTCATCATGGAGTCCAGTACCAGGTGACATAATCACATGACCCTGCTGTGTCAAAGCAGCCACCAGTCAGTGGTAGTTTGTAGCATCTGAGGAAGCTTCTCAGGAAGGTGGGAGATTAGCATCTCCAGAGACCTACTGTTCCCGCTAACGTTCACTGACATGTTCCCAGCTAACCAGGCAGGGTGACTGCATTAGAACACTATTTCTATAACAAATATGGGCTATAGAGTTACACATGCCCAGTACTGCCACCATCAAAAGTCATGTCCACCTCCTGTCCCCCCACAGCCTCCAAGAGTGTCTGACATTTAGGGTACGTCTACACGCCACGCTTATTTCGGAATAAGCTATTCTAGAAGAAATACTCCGAAATAGCTTATTTCAAAATTGCGCGTCTACACTACAGGGAAGCCTCAAAATTAGTCTGAGGCAGGCTCCCCTAATGTGGATGCGCTATCTTGATTTAGAGCCCAAAGAGGCGCTGGGGAGAAACTGATTGGCCCTGGGGAGAAGCTATTTCGAAATAGCAGCAGTGGAGCATCCACACTACAGCCATTCCGAAATTGCTACTTCAGAATTCTGCCCCCTGCAGGGGCTCCTGCAGCTGCCTGATGGCAAGAGCCCTCCACCTTCTCCCCAACCCTCGACATGCTAACGCATTCCTTCTATATCTGCCTCTCCCGCAGCCTAACCAGTACTTATGCACCACCCCAGCCCCCCCATCAAATTTACCTCCCCATACACCCATTGGCCCCTTGTCAGCAATCCTGTCTCTGCTCCTCCCGCAGATCCAAAGTTGCTTCCCCGACCTAGCCTGGCAAGCATGCAGACAGGAAGGGGGGAGCAGAGAACAGACTGGCCCATTTCTCGCAAAAGGGGAGGGAAGAGGAACTCCTGGGCTTTTTCTGCTTTCTGTCTCCCCCCTGCCCCTCCTATGGACTTTTTCCTCCTCCAGCACTTAGCAGTGGCTCCTAGGGTGGGAGAGGGCATTCTGCCTCCCTTCCTCAGCAGCTGTGATTGGCTGGTCTACTCCAGGAAAGTGAAAAAGTGGGGAAGGCAGCCACTCAAAGTCAGCTATCGCCCTGGGGAAGTACAAAAATGTGAGCGCTGGAGCTGTTAGCATCCCGATGCAACTAGCACCAGTGCACCCCTCCCCCCAAGATGAAATCCCAAGAGCTGGCAATCCCGCACACTCTACGTGGAGTAGTCCCCCACACCCTCATTAGAACACACCTACAGGCCTCAGGGGCCCAAGTCACACAGTTCCTAGGCGGGCTCTGGCGAGCAAGCAGGCGGCACGAGGAGCTTAGTGCCCGCCTTGATGGGAGCCAACCGCAGCTTCCAGCCAGCCACAACCGACTTTAGCATAATGGAGAGTTGTAACGGAAACGTCTGAATCTCTAGGCTTGATGGCATGAGGGCTTCCCAAGGGCCAACACTTCCAAATGCGTTGCCTCCTCCCCCAAAATGAACTGCGCTAAAGAACTGGGGAGGGAAGAATGTGAGCAAACCTGCAGAAAAAGCAGAGTACAATTTGGGAAATATTAACACCAACCTCTAGAAGAGGACATCAAAGAAGCAAGCGTGATTTCCGGAGGTCTAAAACCAACCCCGCAGAGGACTCCGGTGGGCGGTATCAAATTGACAGGCTGGATGGCAGACTCCCTCCTCCCCCCCAAAAAAGAGAAAGGTTCCAATTAACGAGAAGAATCAGAGTGCTGTTCCCAGAGTTTCACTTAACTCAGAACCCATCACGGATTGTTCTGGGTCCTGCCGCTTCGCTCAGGAAATAATGAGAGAGATGAAAGAGGCCCAGGCAGCTAATGCAGTCCCGCGCAGCCCCTTTGAAGCGAGGAAATCACAAACATCGCTCCGGAGAGTTTTCTGTTCATGTGGCAGCTGTTGCATACGCTCCTTCAAGAGAAAGACGTGCTGTTTGATTTCCTTTAGCGCAGCCCCTGCCGGAGCACTAACACACACTCATCAGCGACACGTGCAAAGTGTTTTAGAACAACAACAAGATGGAGCAAGTTGACAGACACCGTTGAGTAGGTCCAGTCTTCAATCAGACCTGCCTTAACAATTTGGATCTCAACTGTTTTCCATTCTCAGGCCAGATCTACACTAAAAGAGAAGGTTGAATCAAGATACGCAACTCCAGCTACGTTAATTAGGTAACTGGAGTCGACATATCTTGATTCAAGTTTCCCTGTCATCCCCACAGCAGGCCAACTGGATAAAATGCTCCAGTCAGCTTCTTTCACTCCTCGCAGGAGTACCGGCCACCGACAGGGGCACCCTTTGAGTTTGATTTAGCGAGTCTTAATGGAACTCACTAAATCAAACTCCGGAAGATCGATCGCGGCAGCGTCCATCTTCCATTTAGTGAAAGCCTGGCCTCAGTCCATCATTCTTACTCCATGGGAGAGAATTAAGAAAACAAACTATTGCTGCTATTGTTTGGTCAATCACATTCCACCCTTCCCACGGGATCTGCGGCAGGATTTTGAGCAAAGCCCTTGGTGATTACAACCGTGCTGACATCCCTGCCAGTGCTGGACAAACAAGGCAGTCAAGGCCAAAGGGCAGCGTGCACCTCTCTTGCGGCCTGATCCAAAGACCATCGCAGTAGAGAGGCATCTTCCCAGAGACGTTCTGGGGCTGGGTTCAGACGGCACCCCGGGGTGCAACTGGTTTGCCAGATGGAAACTGCTGAACGTGCACAGTGCAAGTAACTTGTTTCAAGCTCCCGCCCAGGCATCAAAAGCCGAATAAAAACAAGTGCCATTGGAAACCCCTCTACAGCTTTAAAATGAACCTCAAAAACCGGCCAACGTTCTGTTTTGTAGCTGGAAATTTCCTCACCGAACGTGCTGTCCTGCCCACTTGGGACGACTCCCCTGAACACCTCCCCCAAGGCAGAGCGCTGCTGTCAGAAACACACCAGTGCCGATGTCAGTTCAGCCAAAGGACACACCCACAGCCTTGCATTCACCTTACCCCTAAAGATTCCCAAAGAGTTAACTTCAGCGCATTCCACTCAACCCCCTAGGCGAACCCCGAATTAAAACCCGATAGCTCTTTGCCTTGACGAGGGAGGGGAAAAGATATAAGCCACATTTACCAGCTGTCGAGCGGGCCGCCTGCTCAATTTCCCCTTGCCACATGGCCACCAAGGACTAGACGCATACCGGCTGCCCCACTTGAGCACGTGCAAATACACTAGCACACACAAAGCCAATACCCAAGCCGGGCAGCGCCTTACCTTTGCAGGCCACGTTGTTCTCCGCCTCGTAACCGGCCTTGCACGTGCAGCGGCCAATGGGAACCATCCACTCCCCGTCGCCATTGCAGTACAGCTTGATGGGCACATCCACCTCCTCGGCATTGGGAATGCAGGTGCCACGAGCAATCACCAGAGAGGTGCTCTCCGCCCCAGTCATGGTCTCTGGGAAGATGGCAAAGTTCTGCACTACGCTCGGGCACTTCTTGAAGAAGACCCTGACCGAGAGCAATGACATGCAGGCCCCATAGTCCTGGAAGGCGAGGTAAAAGCCATTGCGGGTGAGGGGTCCAAAGCTCCGCACCTCCGTGTTCACCTTCATCAACCGACCCCCAAAGTCCACCTGGGAGAAGCTCTCGTCAGCCGCAATGGTGTCCACTTTGAGGTAGGGCGCCTCCGTCCAGAAAGCCGACTTCTTGGTGGCAATGACGGAGTCTGTCTCGTAGTAGTACAGGTTGAAGGTCTCCTTGCAGGAGCCGGGGACGTTGGGGAGGCTGCTGCAGTCCCGCACGGTGAAGCGCATCTCGGTGTAGATGCGGTGGGCACCGCGCCGGTTTATGAAGGTGGTGAGGAGCCAGTTGTTCTGATTGGGTTCGAAGACGTTGCACACCTGGTAGGTGCGGATGGTGTTGAGGTTCTCGTCGTAGCCACTGACTTCTTCCCACTGGACAGAAGGAACAAAGGAGAGGAAACAGGCAGTGAGAAGGGTGCAGTGAGGGCGCTTCCCCCTACCAGCCCAGGAACCACCGCTACGCGCAGGGAGCTAGTGATTCTGGGCTTCCGCCTCTGGAAACATGAGAGAAAATCACGATTAAGGCTCAGGGCCTATGGAGCCGGCGAACACAATGCAAACCCGCAGAGAGAGAGAAGCTGCCCCCGTTACACATGCACCCTCGGGTTCAGTAACACTTTCCCCATTCGTAACAAAAACTATCAGTCAGGGCACTTTTCATCGGTGGCTTTCCAAGCCTTTTACAAGGGTGGCTGGTGTCACTGTCCCCATGTTACAGCTCGGGAAGTGCCGTGATGTGCCCAAGCTCACACCGCAGGCTAGCGGCAGGATGAGAAGAGCAACCCACGCTGCCCTCGTCCCCATTCCTCTTCCCAACATCTCAAGATGATGCAATGCCGCATCTCCCTCTCCCGCCTTCGAGTCAACGCCCCAGTGCCTGGCAAAGCGGAGGAGCTATTTGAACCATGGACAGGCAGCGCTAAGTGGAGAAAACTTTCAGAAATCTTGCTCAGACTGGGGCTCTCAGTCAGCGGTTCTCAGCCTGAGGAAACTTCCCGGGGCTCTGCGGACAGCTGGCTGATTCCACAAGGCTGCTCTCTTCCTTGTTCCCAGCTGCTCAGCCAAAGCCCCTACATAAAACGCCTTTTCTGTGGGAGCGATTGCTCCAGCAGCCTCAGGGATGTGACTTGAGCACAAACAGAAGGGGCGATGATCCACACACTCAGGAGTGAAAGGGTAAGTGGTACATGAGCATATTTCTCTATTAAGATGCAGTCAGCTGGTAAGAAAGTGAGCGACCCCATGCCGTAGGCAGGGCTATCAGTGTCTCGCGCTCAGGAGTAACAAAATCGGCAAACCAGAGGTTGGGAATGCAGATTTGCAATTGGATTCAGGAGAGCACCTCAGTGTGAAACTGGCTGCGATTTCAACTAAGGAGCAGCAGCTAAATGTGAATGGCTGTGACGATCTGAGAGTCCTACAGCCAGATTTATAACTACCTCGTCCCTCCAGCGTACCGCGGCTGTGTTTACAGTCTCTTTGCTAGCATCAGCCTCAGTCACGCAGCAGCCCCGATGTGCTATGGGGGAAGCCGATGCCGAATTCCTAGGAGCGCCGGCGGCACACGGCTACACACGCAATGTGCTTGTCTGTACAATGTAAACTGCTTGATGGCCCTTAGAGGGGCGGACGTTACCATGCTGAGCGGGAAGCCGGAGTTTGTACAACCGGAAACTCAGGATCGGTTTCCTTCTGCTTCCCTTTACACTATCAGAGAAATTGTTTTTTCCATATCTGCACTAGTAAACTGCAGCCTGTGCGTAACACCCGGAGCAGCATGTATTCGCACAAGATCTTGACAGAATGTACACAGCCGCAGGGGACTGCGGGCAATTTTACCCCAGTGCAAACGGTGCTCAAGCTGCCGAGAGCTAACAGGATCACGGCCGGAGGGGGCTTGGCTGCATTGCGACTAACTGTTGTTAACCAAACATGCGACAGATGGTGACAAACAAGCTCACCTGGACGCATCTTCTCTCCCATCAGCCTCTCCCCGAATACACCAGGCAAGCTGTAAAGAGACGCTACGCTGCATTCGACAAGGTGTGATTTTGACAGGACCCAGGATTCCCTCGTTATCGTTACAAGACACAGATGAAGGGTACTTGAGGTCACTCCGCCTTACTGGCTTGGTGGGGCTTTCCGTTCTATTTGGGGGCTTGGCATCACCGACCAGAATCCAATTCATTTCAGAAGCTTGTCTGTCTATCTGGTAGCAACTACTGGGCCCTGAGTTTTTTTGCCCTATGCAAACTCCCCGAGGAACGTCCTGTCTTTCTAATGTGTCATCACTGGACATCACCAATTACCCGGTTTGCATGCTTGGCATAGGCCTCTCATTCTTGATGCCAAGCTGCGGTTCTAACTCCATTTCCATAGACGACTCTCGAACCCCACTTCCCAGTTGCGTGGATCCTGAGCGGCGCTGCAAAATCCGACGTGGACAGGGAACCCCCCAAATCCATGGGGATTTGCTCACCCCGAGGATGTTGACTAGGCTAAATACACCCAGTGCCACCAAGAATCCGTCAGGCACACCACACGGGCAGCAGCCCATGAGCAAGTCCCAAGGGCTGCCTAGCACAGACACCCTCACTGTCACTCTCTGAGGAGCCCTTCGAATTCCAGCACTCCCTGCACTGGTGAACTAGCCAGGTCAGCAAGGAAGAATAGCTGGGAGGCATCAGGAGAGTAGGGCTGCCGGTATACCGGGGTGTGGCAGAGAAAACGGGCTGGCTTAGCACCATAAGGCTGGCTTAAAACTAGCCAAGAGGCAAGGTCATACAATCCTAGAACTGGCAGGGCCCACAAGAGGTCATCGAGTCCAGTCCCCTGCTCTCACGGCAGGACCAAGCACCATCTAGATCATAGACGTCTATCCGACCTGCTCTTAAATATCTCCCAAGATGGAGATTCCACAACCCCCCTAGGCAATTTTTTCCAGTGTTTAATTATCCTGACAGGCAGGAAGTGTTTCCTAATGTCCAACCTAAACCTCCCTTGCTGCAATTTAACTCCATTGCTTATTGTCCTAACCTCAGAGGCCAAAGAGAATAATTTTTCTCCCTCCTCCTTGTAACACTCTTTTAGATACTTGAAAACCATTATCATGTCCCCTCTCAGTCTTCTCCTTTCCAAACTAAACAACCCCAATTCCTTCAGCCTTCCCTCATAGCTCATGTTCTCTAGACCTTCCATCATTCTTGTTGCTCTTCTCTGGATTTTCTCCAATTTCTCCACATCTTTCCTGAAATGTGGCACCCACAGCTGGACACAACATTCCAACTGAGGCGTTATCGGCGCAGTGTAGAGGGGAAGAATGACTTTTCATGTCTTGCTCACAATGCTCCTGTGGCTATGTCTAGACCGCAAGCCTCTTTCGAAAAAGCCTCTTTCAAAACAGCGTGTCTAGACTATAAGCAGTACTTTCGAAAAAGCAAGCCACTTTTTTGAAAGAGCGCACGCAGGCAGTCTGGATGTTCTCTTTCGAAAAAGCTCAGTTTGCATTACATGGCGCCTTTTTCCAAAAGTGCACTTTTGAAAAAAAAAAAGCGTTATTCCTCGTAAAACGAGGTTTTCCGCAGTCAAAAAAACTGCCGCGTTCTTTCGATTTACTTTTGAAAGAACACGGCAGCAGTCTGGACGCAGGGAAAGTTTTTCGAAAAAAGGCCACTTTTTCCAAAAAAAACCCCTGCAGTCTAGACACACCCTGTGAGTGCAGCCCAGAAGGATGTTTGCTTTTTCTGCAACAGCCTCATGCTGTTGACTCCGACTGACTCAGTTCCCAGAGCGGGAATTGCTCAAATCGATGGGTGGGCAGAGGTGGGCTCCATTCGGGAGGGGGGGGCTGCAGATTCCGCAAGGTGGGGCAGGGCTCAGAGCAGGTGGGTGTGGAGAAGGGGACTAATGCACGGTTCCTGAGCAGGGGCAAATTCAAACGAGAAGGCGAGTTCCCATCACACATTCCTGCAGCTCCTTAGGCCTAGATGAGAAGCAAGCTTCCCTCCCCTTGCAGAGGCCACTCACCTACAGGGCCTGTGCGTGGCGATGGCTGCTCAGGAGCCGGTCACTGCCTGGGGTGGGGGGGGACATGACCCTGCCTCTCCCGCCCCATCCAAGGAGCAGCTGCAGCAGAGGTGAGAGGCACATTCCCTCAGGTGCTCTTCCTAGCGTAGGTCAGCTCTGCGGGGCCCCCATGCAGGGCCATGGCTAAATGCCCCTAGAGCAAGGGTTCCCAACCTGGGGTACGCGTACCCACAGGGGGTATGAGACGCTTGTCAAGGGGGTACGGGGAATATTTGGTAAATAACTAGATTATCCTAATTGAAATATTCCAAAAGTAGTCATGTTAGTGAAAAAAGTTGTGGATTCTAGAGTCTAGAATTTATTTCCTTCCTTTTTGAATAGGGAGTACGGGAAGGTTTACTAAAAGCCAAGGGGGTAGGGGACCGAAAAAGGTTGGGAACCCCTGCCCTAGAGGGCGCCCTCGTGTCTGGAGAGGTCTCTGCCCACGCACTGAGCAATGCACCGAAACCAAAGAGGAAGATGATCAAGCCGCGTTTCCAGCTTGTTTTTCCAGCCCTCGCAAGGCCGGGTGGGCTGGGCTCAGCTCTGCTCCTCGCAGGACAGGAGCCCGGGGCAAAGCCAGCCAGGAATGGGGCCTGGGGCATCCAATTCTGCCAAGCCCCTGGCACGTGAGAGCAGCAGGGAGGGCCTCCGGGAATCCGGGGCAGGAAGAATGTGCTTCTCGCATGCCGCTGCACGTGCTGGGGAATTTGCTCCTCCAGTAAAGACGCAGGCCAGAGGTCCAGGCCGTGGCTGAATCCCCCCGGCCCTGCGAATGGCGCCTGTTCACACGCCTGGCGGGGCCAAGGAGGGAGCAGGCAGGCCTGAGAAACTCAATCAGTAAGAAGCCCCTAAGAGTGCCTGGAGCCTCCATTCCCCTCGGCTCTTCCAGGCCTGGCAGCGGGCCCAGAGCAGCCCCGGCTCCCCCCTGGGGGTGGCCCCGCAGCCTTTGCCACAGCCGGGGCTGCTGCTGCCACTAGCCCAGCCGCACACGCGGTGTCTGGACAAGATCCCTGTAGATAACTTCCAGAGCGCTGGGGATGAAGACGATGCTCTTCCCAGTCTCTAGGGAGCTGTACAGCCCTTCCAGCTGAGAGACTTACAGAGAGTACAGCGGGCTGTTCCACCTCTGACCCTCTTCCCCCGTCCTCCCCCTCCCTGGGGCCCACTCCACAACAGCAACAGGAGCAGCACATGGCAAAGAACCGGCAAGGAGGGAGCGTGGCTGGTAACCATAGCAGCAGGAGCCCCGCCAGGCAGCTGCCATTATCCGGAGGGCTCCTACATGTGATTATCCAGAGCTGTCA